TCTATATTTTGAAGAGGGTTAGATTCTGTCATTGTTTACTGTTTCACTGGATTTGGGCATCACTGGCTGGGTCAGCATTTGATTCCCATCTCTGAATGCCCTTAGCTTACCAGGCTAATTCAGAGGGAAACTGAGAGCCCAACCACATTGCTGTGGGTCTGGAGTCACACGTAGGCCAGACCAGGTAAGGATGGCAGATTTCCTTCCCTGAAGGACATTAATCCACCAGATGAGTCCTTACAAAAGTTGGTGATAGTCTCATTGTCACCATCCCTGAAGCTGGCTTTACATTCCTGATTTTGTGAACTGAATCGAAATTTCACCAGCTGCTGTGATAGGATTTGACCCACAATTCTCAGAGCGTTAGTCTGGGCTCCTAAGTTTTGGTGTGGCGGTGAAGTCTCTGGACTAGTAATCCAGAAACCCCAGGCCAAAGATTTTTAGAGCATGGGTTTGAACCCCACCATGGCAAATGGTGACGTTTGAGTTCAGTGGAGAGCTAGCCAATAGTGACTATGTAAGCACTCTCAATTGTAAAAACCCATCTGGTTCACTCATGTCATTTGGAAGTGAATCTGCTGATTTTACCTAGCCTGGACTACATGTGACTTCAGACCCACACCAACAAAGCTGACTCTTAACTACCGTCTTGGCAATTAGGGATGGGCAATAAGTGCTGGCCTAGCCATTGACACCCACACCCCATGAAAGAGTTTTAACAAAAAGATTCATACAGTGATGTGACCATTCTCTCCTCAGTATCTCTATTTCTTGTTGGAGATGCTCACTGTCTGGCATTTTAATGTGAAGAATCTTGTGATTGATCAGCCAAAGCCTAAATGTTCTCCAGGTCTGGCTGTGGGCAGACACAAGCCATTTCAGGATCTGCCCAATAGTATCTGAGAAGTTGCATATGATACTCCACACTATACAATGAGCAGCAATCATCCTCACCTCTGACCTTATGCTACGGAGAATCTCTTTTCTCTGTCATGCTCTTTCAACAAATGTGAGTACCTCTGAAGATGGTTGACTGAATTCTCCAGATCCTCTTGAAAATGTAGCTGACTTATTCTGACAAATTCCCTGCTGATCTTGACTCTTCTTCTCTGGATGATTAATGATCTGAACATTGAATAGCAATAACTCCCCTCACAATGGACAGTGCAGGTACCAGCTGAAACAAGACTTTCCTTCACCTTATTAATACTAAAAGCTACTCAAAAAAATAAGGTGTTCAGTACCGTGTCCACGAATGGCACCGGGGATGTCAATCACTGCTGAAATAATCTGCAGGATTCACCTCGGGATGTTGACATGATAAAATGTGTTGGAATGTGTGAATCAATGCATTAGTTTGCTTCATGTTTTAAGGAATTTAATATTGTGTAGATTTGTTAAAAAAAATGTGTAATCATGTAAATTAGCACTCATGAGTTGGAGTTTTGATTGACTGAAGATTGTAACATTGAAGGTGTAGCCAGCATAGGAACAGAGACAGAACCCTGTTGGGAGATCTTAACAGGTCACTCAGATTAGTTCAGAGGAAGTGTCAGTATAATGGCCAGAGCCCCAGGATAATGTTCTGGCGACAAGGAATTAAATCCCAACATGGCAGATGGTGAGAGTTGAATTTAATTTCAAAAAGAAAATCAGTTGTAAGATAGATAGCTTCGCAGTGACCATGTAGCTACTGATAATTGTTGTAAAAACCCATCCAGTTCCACCAATGTCAGTTTAGGGAAGGAAATCTGCCATCCTTACCTGGTCTGGCCTACATGTGATTCTAGAAACACAGCTATTGACCACCCAAATTCCATGTATTAGAAAATCAGGAATCAAAAGTGAATCTAAGGATGACCATGAAAGCATTGTCAATTGCTGTAAAAACCCAGCTGGTTCACTAATCTGCTGAAGGAGATCTGTCATCCTTACTTGGTCTGGCCTATATGTGACTCTAGACCCACAGCAATGTGATTGACTCTTAACAGCCCTCTGGAATAGCCGTGGCAAGTCACTCAGTTGAATCAAACCATAACAAGGTCTGAAAAAAAGGATGAAACTGGACAAACCACCTGAAATGGCCCAAGGCACTGCAAAAACAATGACAAACATAGCCCTGAAGACCCAGCAAGGTCTTCTTCACTGGTATCTACAGGCTTTATGGGAGAGCGGTCCCACAGATCAGTCAAGAAACACCCCAGGCTGAACTGCACGGGGAGAATGGTGGAATCATATCAATTCTATCATTCCTGAGGCTGAGGGCCACATGGACCAACATCAGTGAAGTTTACTAGGGAAAACTCATTGCGACTAAGGACAACATGAACTGCCAGGTGCCCTACATAACTGTCATCTCCTAAGGTGGGCACGTAGCTCAGCTGGAATAGGTGTCTAGCTTCCTGATTTTACCAGAGATGTTGCAAAATACGTCCTTTTTTTGTTTTATTCACACATTGATGAGAGTGTTGCTGAACAGGCCAGCATTTATTGCCCATCCCTAATTGCTCAGAGGGCAGTTAAGAGTCAGCCACATTGCTGTGGGTCTGGAGTCACGTGTAGGCCAGACCAGGTAACGATGGCAGTTTCCTTCCCTAAAGGACATTATTGAACCGGGTGGGTTTTTCCAATAATCAGCAATGGATTCATGATCATCATTAGACTTCTCAAACCAGATTTTTATTGAATTCAAATTGCACCATCTGCCGTGACAGGGTTTGAAACTAGGTCTTTGGATTAAGAGTCCACCATTAATACTACTAGACCATCAGCTCCCCAGCTCAGCCTGAGTACCTCAGCATAGTGTGCTATCTTCTTCAATTTCTTTATCAATGACATTCCATCCATTATAAAGTCGGAAGTGCACTGTTTCGCTGATATTCCTTTATTCATTCATGGGATGAGTGCATCGCTGGCTAGGTGGCATTTATTGCCCATCCCTAATTACCCAGAGGGCAGTTAAGAGCCAACCACATTGCTGTGAGTCTGGAGTCCCATGTAGGCTTGACCAGGTAAAGATGGCAGTTTCTTTCCCTAAAGGACATTAGTGAACCAGATGGGTTTTTTTGACAATTGGCAATATTTATTGAATTCAAATTCCACTATCTACCATGGCGGGATTCAAACCCAGGTCCCCAGGATGTTATCCGTGTCTCTGGATTAATAGTCCAGTGATATTAACACTAGGCCATTGCCTCCCCTGTTATGTTACACAATCTTCAGAACAATTTTCCATGCCTCCGATACTGAAGTAGTCCATGTCCATGTACCTAGACAGCATTCAGGTTTGGGCTTAGAAGTAGCAAGTAACATTCATGCCACACACTGTCTGGCAATGGCCATCTCCAAAAACAGAGAATCCAACCATCGCCCCCAAATTTGAAAAATATTTCCATCACTAAATCCCCCACTGTCGCTATGCTGGGAGGTACCATTGACCAGAAACTGAACCGGTCTAGCCATTACTCAAGCTACAAAAGTGGGTCAGAGGGTAAAGATTCTACTGTGAGTAACTCAAATCCTGAGTCTTTGAATCCCGAGCAGGTTACAAGTCAGGAGCATGATAGAATACTCTCCAGTCACTTCAACAACACTCAAGATATTCAACACTATCTAAGACAGCCTGCTTAATTGACACCCCCATCTACAACCTTCCCTTTACCATCAACACAGAATGACATCAGAGTATACGATCTACAAGATGCGCTGCAACAACTCACCAAGGCTCACTTGACAGCACCTTCCAACTCTCAATTTCTGCCATCTCTTCGAAATGGGTCTGTTAATTAACTCCAATTTAACCAACTTTATTATTGCATCCAGCTCCTAATACTGACCCTGCCTCCTATGCCGTCTCCGTTCCATGCCATTCTAACATTCCCTTGCCATTCCTCTCAAGCCATCACCATTCCTCCTGAAAATCCACCCTATCCTTCAACGAAACAGACAAGTGTAGTTTTGTTATACAAGCAGAAAATGCTGGAAAGCTTTGGTAGAGAGAGAAAATCAGAGTACCTTTGTTGGTGGGCTCCTGCTACCTTCCAATTTACTCATTCTCTGCCACATGCTCCCACTTCTTCTATCCTGCCCTGCTTGCCACCAAAATTGATAGCTATATACGTATCATCGGCTCCAGCGGCCCACATGCTCTATGTGTCTCCACTTGCAACAGCATTGCAGACATCTGCCTTAAACTGACCCATCAGCACAGTCTAGACAATCACAATCTGCCAGTTATTATAATTGATATGCTTCTTGATGCTTTATTAAGACGCTGAGTTACTGTCATAGAGTCATAAAATCATACAGCACAGAAACACTCTTTGCTCCAACCATTCCACGCCGACCATAATCCCAAACTAAACCAGTCCCACCTGCCTGTGCTTGGCCCATATCCTTCCAAACATTTCTTATTCATGTACTCACCTAAATGTCTTTTAAAGTTTGCAATCAGTAACATCCACCAATATTGACCAGTGAATAACACCAGTTTAAATAACCGAAAACGACTTTGACGAACCACACAGGGCAAGTTACTGGTTCTGTACACTAGCCAGTTCCTTAGCAAATTAAAATAAAATAAAATTCAAGGAGTTTTAACATGTTGGCTGCCTGGCTTTCTGCTCAATGCTTATTTAAACTAAAGTGAAAAATGGTCTGAAGCTCAATTTGAGTTGGACTTAATTTGCACGTAAAATGCTGCGACCTTTTATGTAGTTTAAGGTTTGAGTCCTTCAGAGCTGAAGAAGTTAGCTCTCTCCAGTGATGCTGCCAGACCAGCTGAGTTTCTCCAGCAATTTCTTACTTGATTTCAGATCTCCAGCATCCGCAGTATTACGGCTTTGTGCTTATTTTGGGCGAATAGAAATGCCAGGCAGTAGAATATATGAAGTACAACCACAATATGAAGGCAGCCAACACATATTAATGTGTAGTGCAGATTCTAATCTATTGCTTCACCTCAGGATAGTATCACAGTGAGAGTTTGATAAACAGTTTGCTTTTATGAAAAGACAATATAGTTCCTTACTGCGAGAGAAGTGAGGTGGATTGTCATTGACATCGCTCAGAGTAATAGTGATGGATGTAGTCCCGGACAAGCCTCCCATCTGTCCAACCATGTCTTTAGCTTGTATAACCAGTAGGTAGCGATCCTTGGCCTCTCGGTCCATATTCGGTAGAGCTGTTCTGATGATCCCTGAAATACATATCCAAAAAGATCAGTTGCGGGGCTCCATATGTCTGAAACATGACGGTCTTGCAAATTCATTTCGTCCAGCATGCATTAATCGAGTGACCGCGCTGTTAAGGAACAGCTCACACGGTCTGATTTAATACATCCACAAGCTCGCTGATGGTTTAAAGTTATTAATAATTTACTACTGTCTGTGCAGCAGAATTCACAGTCATGCAGTGCATCAAGCCTGTCCTTTGTAGACCTATCCAATTAGTGCCACTCCTCAGCTCTGTAACAACAGCCATAAAAAAAATTCATCCACTTCAAGCAAATATCCTATTCTCTTATGAAAGTTATGTCTAAATCTGCTCTTGCTCTCTTTCAGGAACAGTGGTGCTCCAGATTGCAGCAACTTTTGCCATGTTAAAAAAAAACTCCTCCTTTTCCTTTTCTCCTGTTCAAGCTGTGCCCTCTTGTTACCAAATCTCCTGCCCTAGAAGGGGTTTTTGCATATTCATTCCCACAAAAACCCTCCAGCTCTTCCGTTGGGCAAAAGATGTAAAAGTTTGAAGACAAACATATTCATGAATGGATTCTTCCTCACTGTTATTAGACTTTTGAATGGACCTCTCAAATCTTAATTCTGATCCCTCTCCACACCTTCTCTGCAGCTGTAACTCTGTCTCCTGCACTCTTTTCTGCTACCCTGATGCACTTTGTATGGTACAACCTGCTTGTAGAGCACAGTAAACAATACTTTTCACTGTATCTTGGTATGTGCGACAATAATAAATCAATCTCGACTTGAAATTCTCTGCTTTAAGAAGACCGAACCCAGCTTTTCTCACCTGACCCCCTCCCTGGTACAAACAAAAACTGAAAGAACTGCAGATGCTGGAAATCAGAAATAAAAACAGAAGTGCTGGAAAGACTCAGCAAGTCTGGCAACATCTGTGGAGAGAAATTAAAGTGAATGTTTCGGGTCCAGTGACTCTTCAGAACCCTCCCTGGTATTATTCTCAAAGCAACTTCTGTACCATCTCCAAGGCCTCAGAATTCTTCCTAAAGTGTGGTCCTCAAAATTAGGTACAAATCTAACTCAGGTCAAATAAATAGAGATGCACAAAAGTTTAGCATAACTGCTTTGTCTTCGTATGCTGTGCCAGTCATTACAACATCAAGAGTCTCAGACAGAAATGGAGAGTGCTGGAGAAACTCAATAGGTTTGGCAGCATCTGTGGAGAGCCAGATAGGGTTAAAGTTTCAAGTCCAATAAAGCTGGAAATAGATAGGGTTTTATGTGTTGCAAAATTAGAGGAGGGGCATGTGGAACAGACATACTGAGATGTACTGAGCAAAAACCATATGGAATGCTGAGACCAATAAAGGAGAAATGTAGGTGAAAAATAGGTATTAATGATAGAGGTGAATTAAAGAATACAGGGCAGCTCTATTAAAAGCAAAAACCAAAAGAACTGTGGATGCTGTAAATCAGGAACAAAAACAAAGTTGCTGGAAAAGCTCAGCAGGCCTGGCAGCATCTGTGAAGGAGAAAACACAGTTAACGTTTCCAGTCCGGTGACCCTTCCTCAGAACTGGAAGGGTCTGGTGACCCTTCCTCTATTAAAAGCAAACTTATACCTTTAAGACTCTGAAGGGAAGGATGCAACAAAAGTGAAGGACCTATGTTACTGTTCTGAAGCTGTTGAACTCAATTGAGTCCTGAAAGCTGTAAATATCTAAACCTTACAGACTCCTGGACCCAACACTGTGTTCTGCAACTTCAGAGCATGAACACTGCGTTTTGATTATACTCACCTCCCCACCCGTGGCATAGATTTGCTCTCAACAGAGCTGCCTTACTTTTTACTACTCACACCTACTATTTACACCTATTTTGTACATATATCTTTCCTTTATTACCATTAATGTTCCCTTTGTCTTTTGCTGTGGTCACTTTCAACGTCTGTTCGCAAAGCTCCTCCTCCACCTTTGTCAACAGCATAAAAATCAGACTTTTCCAATCCCTTTCAGTTCCAAAGAAGACTCATTGGTCTCAAAACGTTAACTCTCCTTTTCTCTCAAGTGCTGAGAGACCTGCTCAGTCTCTCCAGCATTTTCTGATTTCTAACATCTGCAGTATTTTGTTTTTATTACAGAAGTCCTTGGTACTTGCTTTAATTTGTGCTTAATGCAATTTAAAAATAATATAAAGAATTTTTGCTCTCAAATTATGAATCTTAAACTATGTAAGCCTTGACATGACCCCTTTTCACTGGGGCCACATGAATACTTTATGTAATGAGAAAGTGCTAACGAATAAAATTGCTGTACAGGAACCTTTGGGAAACAGTGACCATAATATGATAGAATTTTACATTACATTTCAATGTGATAAACAGTACATTCTGAAAGTAGAGTCATAAACATGAATAAGGGAAACTCAAGGCATGATGGGTCAGTTGTTAATGGCAAATGATCTGATAATAGATGGGTAATGGCTAATTAAAGAAGTATTCCATGGACTACAACAAATATACATTCCTTGACAGCACAAACATCCAATAGGAAATGTGAATCACCCAAGGCTAATAAAGTAAATTAAGGATTGCATGAGATCAAAGGAAATCATTTATAAGAATTCTACAGAAAGTGGTAAACCTGAGGATTAGGAGCAACTTAGAACCCAACAAAAGATGATTCAGAAATTGGTAAAGGAAGCAAAAGAGAATACAAATAGAAGCTAATGCAAAACATAAATGCTGGATTGTAAAGGCTCTTTAGGTATGTTAAAAAGAAAACATTAGCTCAGATAAATGTGAAACTCATTTAGGGTGATGGCAAGAAAATTTATTATGGAAAACAGGGAAATGATCGAGAAGCTAAGCAATTATTTTGTGTCTATTTTTAAGGAGGAAGTTACAGAAAGTCTTTCAGAAATACAAGGCAACCAAAGGACTTGTGAACAAAAACAGAAGTAGCTGGAAAAGCTCAGCAGGTCTGGCAGCATCTGTGAAGAAAAAAATCAGAGTTAACATTTTGGGTCCAGTGACCCTTCACCAGTCCCAAAATGAAGGGTCACTGGACCTGAAAGATTAATTCTGATTTTTTCTTCACAGATGCTGCCAGACCTGCTGAGCT